GTTCGCACAAAAAATATATCGACAATAGTTTTTTTTTTGTTTCGTAAGGTCAGTGATAAAAAATTTAGTTAGTAGCGGAAGGAATGTTCTCGGTTCTTCGCCGCTAAGTGTACTTCGTAGATGTACAAAATGATTTTATGTAATAGTCCAGTGGTTTTGAGGTTGAGACCCAGGTCGCGAAATAAATTTGAGAATTTTTCGAAATTTATGCTCACAGCGTAATTAGTGGTGAGTGGATAAGTGCATGTTTTGGAGAACTGAAGTCATAAAAATAAATTTTTAATATTTTTTATGTTTTGAAGATTTACCAATTTTATCTATCATTATTCATAGTTTGAGTGACAAAAAGAAACCTTGTTTATCCAAGTATTTGCATTCTTTATTTATTATTGATTATATTTGTATGTTCGTTTCCGTTCACGGGATCATAGGGTCCCGGACCTTTGGAAGGCGTATGAGGGGCCGAAGCCAACTCGCAGAGGCCCTTTGAACAGTTTTAATCTAAATGTGATGGGACATCATTATTATTGATATTATTATCTGGTATATTGGTAACAATGAATTGTAGGAAATAATCTCTTTTTCCTAACCTTATAACAAAAATTAACAATTCGCAGTAACTTATGATCCATATATTAACAAAATGACTAACGAAAGTGGTGAAATGTTTATATTTTAATGAGCATGTTTTAATATCACTTATAAACCTATCGTCACATTCATTCAACAATTTTATCAATTGAAATAAATATCATTCATACGAGGACCTATTTCCTGCTTTTATATATATTCTTTTAATAAAATCAATTATACGTAGAGCTATATCCATAACGAAAATGACGTCACGTAATCAGACACTTTTCATAAACTACATTATCAGCCTATCAATGCTCACTGCTGAGCAAAGACCTCTTTTTACATGGATAAGGTTTTAGCATGACGAGTAGTCGCCACGCTTGCTCTAGACAGATCGTCGATTTTAAACATATAGTATAGTTAGAAATAAAACAATTAAACCCGAGAGGGTAGAATAATCCATGTTTCCTCGTGATGTTTTCCTTCACCGTAAGTCAGTGGTGTCTAAATTATTTTTGGCTCGGAAAATGCCTCTGTGGTATTTGCCAGGTTTCGAACGCTCATGCACAGAAAATGGGAGAACAATTCCTGAGTAGTGATTGTGTTCCGAAAATGAATGCTAAATACTGACTTAAGTGACCTAAATGACTTTGGGTTCTCACATAAAACCGGCGTAAACAATCACAACGTTGTATTTCGCAAATTGAGAGGTCCTGGATACCCAATCCTTACGCAAATTCAGCATCCATACTGCATAGTACAAAAAATCTGTACAAAACATCAAATAAAAGTTTGCTTGACACCCAGCGAAGGTGGCAGTGAATTCAAACAATAATGTGAAGAAATAATATTATAAGGTATTAAATTAACATACAATTGTCTATCTACATTTATATACAAATGTAAAATAACAGAGAACTTATACTTAATACAAGGAAACTTTAGTCTTCCGTGAGAATGGATTAATTGTTGAATCAGTAATTACATTCAATGATTTTTAAGAGGCAAGAGGAGTTTTTCTACAGCCAAGAAACAATTGGTCAGCTAATGTTGTTAAGACATGGTTATTTATTATTTATTATGTGTCATTTTTCTAAATCTAACAATTAAAAAAAAACAAATGTTAAAAAATGATACCAGCTTAAAAAGAAGAGTCGAAAATAGTTTACGACGATGCAGATCCATTAAGAAATACATCAAAAATCTATCTGTTCTTTCGAATGGGCAAGAATAGTTTCATTGATACCCTTTACTTAAAAGAAAAAGCCTTTAATACAAGTTACATTAAAAAAACCTAATATGAATAAAACAGTAACAAACCCTAACTTCATAACTTGACTTACTAGAAGCCATTGAAAACCAAGTCAAACGTTTTTTTTTAATAATGGCACAAAATGTTTGCTTATGTCACGATGAATGAAACTATTCTTGAGTGCAGATTTGGCTGAGTCAATGTGTTATATCATCGAAGGAGGTGGGCGACCTTCGTTTACTAATGCCATGCATAATATTCATAACTCTAGTTTTAACCGTCTTTGTCTTAGTAGATCGAGAGATCAAAGCCATTTCAGTTTCGATCCAATTTTCACGACACTTAAGCGAAACAGAAATCGACAATATTTTGGTCGACCGACAATAGACTCTACCTTTTTTATTTTAACTTATAAAATAAAAAAGGTAGAGTCTATTGTCTCTGGTTTTAATAAGAATGCTATTTTTTTCATTTTATTATTGACATAAAGTTGCCAAGCTTCCATTTTCAAAAAAATTAAATAACGAATCTTTTTGCGTCGTTAAAATAAGCTACTAAAACGTGTAAACGGGAAAATATCAAATGTTTTATAGGTAAGTAGAAACAAATAATTCTAAGAACAACAAAATCTTCTCGATCGTTTCCAACGCTAATGATATTATTACAGTAATTTATGTATATTTTTAGCATGTTTTTGTTTCAAACACAAGATAGAATTCATGTATAATTTATGCAACTTAAAATAATAATTGTGTTAACTCAATGACGTTTTTCTAGAGAACACCTTTTTTCGCCAAGATCTACATCACCATTCAAATAAGGTGGTAATAATTATTAAGTATGTGTAACACATATAAGTAGAAAACAAACAGATTTTTTTAAGGAGAAAAAATAATTTTCTGGCTTCTCCTGCGCTGGTGAAGATAGAGCTAGTCAGCCAAAAACTCGTTCGTTCTCATGCTCCTGGATTGGGCCTCGGTACACAACTGTGTTTGGGTTAATATAAGACATAATTATGTGACTGAAAAATGCACCGTAGAGTCCATAAAATCCGTGAAACTTAGCTAAGTCAAAGAAAATGGTCTTAATAAAGCAATGGTCTTAGTATTTCACAAGACAAAACGATTTTATCTACATATTTTATTTAACAAACACAACTCAAGCTCGTTCTAACCTAAAATATAAACATTGACCTTCCATTCACATTCAAAATTCCCGCCAACAATTTTCTTAAGACCACAAACAAAAATCAGCTGTGTTATTTTTTTCTATAAACGTCTCGGCCGGGCACAACGTCGTGAAGACAGACAGCCAGTTTAATAAGTGCCGCGTTTTTTCAATTTAGTCGACACTGGCTGGAAAAATAAAGAGTCCTCGACTTTCCATATTATTAACTTCTAAGAGGGGGTTAAGCCCCATTCCTTACTACTTTGGAAAACGGAGGTTTTTTTAATAACAACTTTGTTTTTATACCGTCTAGGTTGATATTGGGATAATCAGAATTGATTTATTATACTTACATATTACAGAAGCAACTTATTGCCATTTGAACCGTAGGTAGCCACAGATACTTTTAAATTTAGTGTTATTATTTTAACAACAAGGGAGTAAAAAATAAATCTGCTCATAGAAATAGAATTTTAACGTATTTTTTATTTAGTTTGGGTCAAGTATACCTACCTATATACCAATATACTATTGTTTATATGTGTGTCTTTACAAAAATAAAGTAAGAATAGACACTAGATTTTACTGCTTAAGGTCAGTACGTCCATTGGTTAGCATCTCTTGACCGGGTGAAGGTCATAGCATCACTCGTCTACGCTAAAATATAACTATATATAAACCAAGTTTAATCATCGTATTTTAAACATTATTGTTTTGCTCACTAGTATACAATAGGTATATAGTAGTAGATTGCCAGTTTTTAATTGTAAAAATAAAAAAAAAACACAATCTAATTTATAGAAAACATTTTTTTTTTGTAGAATATTTTCAGGAAATAAGTATGCTATTTGACAATTTGCAAAAGGTATTGAATTTTAATCTGAGTGAGTTGTCTGTTACTCGAGACAGTAAAAATGTTTTAGATTGACAATAATATTTACCAAAATGTAACAGCTATTTTTTTAAAGTACCTTTAATTTGAGTAAAAATATGCATACATTTTTTAATATTTATTTTAATTATTAATCAGTATTTTTATTTTTTTAAGACCACAGATACACATTTTATACGATCTTAATTACATAGATTTTTTTGCAAATTTTTGCTTCATGGAATTGCAAAAATACCTATTATACAATGCCTTTTTTATGAATGTGTAATTTTCAACAGTAGATTTACAATGAAAAATTTATGACTTCATTTTGGTTCCTGTAATTTATTTGAGGTTAATTAACAACACAAAATCACGATGTAAGTCAGTATAACAAAAACCTATTAACACTGGGTAATCGAGGCGTGAAGTTTTTTACTATTTTCCGGGTTAAAATGTTCCTTTCCATTCACTGGTCGGTTTTCAATCATAACACACGATACTTTTCTTGGTAAACAGACAATTAACTGATATTTTCATATTCTAATTTATAGAAAATTTAATCTTATTAAATTCTTATTATCCTTAAACTTATTGTAGGAACTATCTAGATTTTCCTTATTATTAAACATTTAAGCGACATTGGAAAAATATTATGAAATTCAACCACAAACAGAGAAACGTTTTGTTTTCATAATAATATAAAAAACTGGTTATATTAACGCATTGATATGACCTTTAGAATTAAATAGAAGAAAAAAAACAACGGTTTGTTTATTTCAAAAACAGAATAAATCGATGCTAATGTCAAAACTTCGAAACGTAAAAAAATCTAATGTCAGAGTGTGTTTTGTTTCTTTTCTCGCTTTACTTTTTTGTATAATTTCGATGCGAAGAGCTAATGTTACCAAAAACACTTCAATGCTTAGAGATTGTAATATAACGCTTAATTATTTGTCACTAATATTTGTTTTCAATGTCACCTGAATAATTTACCAAACAAAAAACAACAATTCTAAATCAATTTAGATATTCAATAACAACTGCAATGAGCGCCTTTTGTTCGATTGTGAGTTGTACAAATACATTTTTTCTACCACTATAATATTACCAGAGAAAAAAATAATTACAAACCTGTATAGTAAATAAAAATCCTCACACAGATCACAGATAAAAAATTAAAATAAAAAAAGCACAATCACACGCGACGTGTTCGAAGCGCACGATGTTACATCCACGGGTTATCGGTCCGCGCCGCTCGGCCGACGCGCGTAGACTGCCCGCCCGAACCTTACGCCACCACCTTCACACACGAAACAATAATTTGTTTATATCATAATTAACAAAAGGTAAGTTTTATTTACAGTATTTAAGCAACTCTTGGCGATGTCACATGATGATGTCAGTGTAGATGGCGCTTTAATCGCTTTCTGCTGATTTGGTTTGGAGTTACTATACATTTTTCAATGTCAAAGTATTTTAAGGGCTATTTTTTGGCTCAGTCAGGTAGAAATTGTTAGTTTTTGATCAAGATATCAAGTCTTAAGCATGTGTTTAAATCTGCACTTGTGAATACAATATCAAGATACGTTTTTTTGTTTAAAATCTACAGTGTAGAGTTGATGTTATCAATTGTATGAGTTCTCTATGCGATGTTTAATTTCTCTTGTTACAAAGATCGGTGTGTAGCGCTGACGAAGACGCTGTGACTGTTTCTTTTTTATAATTAACTACTAATTATTCTTCAATATTTGAGAGTTCCAGTCGGTTTGTTCCATAAGTAAATTTTGTGGTTTATTTTGACCAATTTAAGAATATCTTGTATAAGAGAATTTATTTGTAGATATTTTTAAGTACATTGGACTAGAAAATTTTCACTTTTAATTACAATTAGACCATATAAGGCTGCTGTGAGAAACCGTATAGAAAAGCAATCTCCAAAAATCACAAAATAGTCTTTATCTTCGAATATATTTGGGAAAAGCATATCGTATTTGTATTTCTCTCCCTTTTCCCTCAAGGGGTTATCTAACTCCATTGGCCGGGTGCCTCTTGAAACCGTATATGTGTTGATGGAATAGATTGCCAAAGATATTGCAATTTCTTCGGCTAATACATCAGAATAATATTAAGAGTGACATTGAGGAGATTATAAACGCCGGTGGCGACATCTGCTTATATAGTGTTGTTATGATAAACTTTATTGACAGATTTGTTGTGAATTTATTTGATTATTTAGTATGGAAACTAGATTTGGAGTGAAGGGGGAATTAAAGGAGAATTGTTGATAAAAAAGTGGTTGTGCTTGTAAGTACCTATGTTTTTCCGGTTACCTGGATAGTGTTATGAAAGTAACTAAACTAGTTTTTTAGTTATAATTATTTGTGGTTAAACCCTTGATTTTATTCTACTATTTTGTTTAAGAGAGCTTTGATTGATAATTACATTCGCGTATAAAATATCTATGATAGATTTATAGCATGTCAAAACACAAATAAAATACATTTTTCTTGTTACTCCTTACCTATAAAAACCAGATCAAAGAATTCGTTTAATTAAGAAAATTCCTGCACCTACGAATTTCAAAGTTTGATTCAATTAAAATACCTTAAGGATAATTATTAAAATTTTAAGGCAACTCATTTCAAACGTAGTGGATTCCTTTCTAGGCTGTCAGTGTTATTACTTAGAGCTGAATTGATATTGATTTTGATTCCTAGAACTAGGTAAGTAAGAATCTTTTTGGAATTTCAGGTCTGGCCAGGTCAAAATTAAGAGGTTGTTAATAGTTAATGTGGCAGGTTGAGCAAGATTCCACACGAGTATACACATCAATCACATCAACAGCCTATAAGTGCCCACTGCTAAGCAAAGGCCAAATTATAAGTCCAGGTCTTCTTTACGATCCGCCGTGTTCTCAGGGAAGTGATCGGCGGCGGCGACCTCTCGCGCCCGGCCTTAATCGAGGCCATGGTGCAGCGTGAGAGGAACTGGGAAGCTATCTCCTCCTTCTGCGAAGCAGTTATGCTCGCAAAGGAGGAAGCGGAGCGCGTGAGGGAACTATCCTCCTCGCGCCCCAGCCGCCGCAGAAGGCGACATTCCGGACGTCGGGGATCGAGAGATGATCTCCGGCCACCGTAAGCGGGGGTCTGCGGACGGCGAGTAAGGGTAGCTCGCCGCCCGACCAGATACGGACCCGAGCGTACGGCGCGTAGCGTTCCGCGCGCGCCTCAAAGAGCCAATAGACCACCACAGTCGGGGCCCTAAAGGGCTGATGTTTAGCCGGGGCTGCGGGGTAAGCGCAATGAGGTACCGCGACCTCGGCCCAGAGCAGGAGAAGGAACGGGGGGGTTTTTAGTCAGTAAGAGTCTGACACTCTCTCTCGCCTTACCCTGGGCGGGAGAAGTCATTGGATGATTTTCCCCTGACAAAAAAAAAAGGTCTTCTTTACGATGTTTTCTTTCACCGTATATCAGTGGTGGCTAAATAATAATAGAATGTACATATAACACGGAAAAAGTCACATTGGTACTTGCCAGGTTTCGAACCGCGACACCCTCGAGTAGACATACGAGTATACATAAGTGCTGATTATAAGATCGGAATTGCGGGTCAACCGAAATGGCATAATTAAACCGCATAGTGCAGGAGATTGAACGGGGTGGCTTTTAATCAGTAAGACACTGACTCCTTTTCAAGCCTTACGCAAGGCCTAGAAAAGTAATTTGGAGATTTTCTTCTTTCAAAAAAGAAAAAAAAAATTGTATTTGTTTAAGTTAAGTGTTCCAAGACATGTTAAACTCAGAACTACAAATTGTGGCTACCAATTCAATTTGTTTCATTTTTACCAAATAAGTCGGCAAACGAGCAAACGGATAACCTGATGGTAAGCAATCGGCGCCAAAAATGGACACCCGCAACACCAAAGAACGTTGCCGGCTTTTTGGGGGTAAGGGTTGCGGATATTTAAGGATTGGGAAGGGATAGGGAAGGGTCAGGGATTGGACCTCCGGAAAGCTCACTTACACAACGCTGTGGTTGTTCCACGCCAGTGTTCCTTGAGGCCATGGCCTCAAGTGGTATCATGGTATCACTTCGGTCGACCCGACCCATTGGTCCCGAAGCCCGGCTCCTTTAACCTTGATACCTATGCCATTGAACTAAAATAATAACATTAATTAGTAGTCGAACATGTTTCTGGCCTTGAACCCGCTACGGACGGTCGCAAGTCTTCTAATTGAGATTGTAACCACAAATTGAATCAACGCAAATAATCAAGTTACGTAATGATATCTTGGTAACATAGTACTTCCAAATGAAGCTGTTGACTATAAAGGCTAAAATTTGATGAAAAAAAATAATTACAAAGTCTTTTCCATCCAGACCATTGACACTCAGTGTTACGAGTGTGTTGCTGGCGTTTTCGGGAATAAGATTTCGTAAATTTGGAGACTGGGGAAGATGGGGGATGGGGGGGTAAAGGATTGGACCACGGGTAAAGACGACGGACACGGCGAAACCTGTAAGTCAGTCATTTTGCATAAATTAATAAATACCTAGTTGTTTCACACCAGTTTTCTGTGAGTAGTTGGTTTCACTCCGGTAGAGCCGGCCCATTTGTGCACAAAACAATTACGTTTCCGACCTTTTGGGCATTATGGATTTGGAGATTTTGGGATTGGGAGAGGGGAAGGACCTCTAGTGACCTCGCTCACACACACACACACAGAAGCACACACAGCGAAACAACACTGTGGTTGTTTCACGCCGGTTCATATATGTTCATTCCGGATTTGTGAATGGTTAAAATCGATACTTTTCTTCACTTAAATATAAATAGTTTATATTTTAAATGTACGAAGTGATTATTACGTCAAATATTTTCTCCGCTTATCCAGTTAACGAATTGAAGAAAGTATAATATTATGTCCAAGTTATTCGTAACATAAGTAAAAGAAACGCGAGAACGTCTTAGATATTCTGTAATCGATATTATATCGATACTTGATACAGAAAACACATTTTCTATCCATTAATATGAAGAAAAAAGAAGCATTCTGTCAGTTACAAGTCAGTTCAGTTATTTGGTATGAATGTAAGAAAATCAATTTTGATTCTATATAAAGACAGTAGCTGTTGATATGCTCAATGAGTGATTACTACTTTGTAAACCATCACATCATCAGCCCATAAGCGCTCACTGCAAAGCAAAAGGCCTCTTCTGACACGAAGAACCTTTGAGCATCAATCACCACACATGCTCAAGGTGGATTTGTGATTTCAAACTCAAAATTTGAAATTATAAAACATGAGAACATTTGGGACATAAAAATGTGTACTGTAAATAAAATTACACCATCACATTATCACCGACATCTTCCTTGGCATTATCATCAACAGTCTATAAGAAGTTACTCACTGCAGTGCAAAGGCCTTAGATGGAAAAGGCTTGAGAGCGATAAAAGTATGGAAGAGCCATTGCTTTGGCACGATTGGTTCTGCTCGATCGGAAAGAAACCTCGGCCTTACGGAAAACTGGCGTGGAACAACCATAGCATTGTGTTTTACCGTATGAGTGAGGTTACCGGAGGCCCATTCCTTCCCCTCCCCCAGTCGCTCCCCAATCTAACAATCCCAAAATCTCCAAATCCAAAGCAAATGAAATCCTCCGTTATTGCGGGTGTCCATGGGCGGCTCCGATTGCTGACCACCAGGTAGTCCTTCTGCTGGTTTGCCATACTATCTCATAATTAATAAAAATCGCCACGCTTGCTCAAGACAGGTTCGGAGTGCCCATCTTCCTTAACTGTGCGAAAATATTTGACATTCGCATATGTAACCATGAATAGTACGGTAAGAATTATCACTCGTACGAATATGGATTTGAAACCTCTACAAAATGTATTGACGTTATTTTGCGACCAAAATAAATGTGCAGAATGTCCACTTCGATTTGAAAATATCTTGAATTTAACGCTTCTGTGAAGTATTATAGTAATAGTTACAATTTTTATATTATAAAAGAGAAAGTTTATAAGTGTGGTTGGAAGGATGTTTGTAACTCTTTCACGTAAATGTGTTTTTTTTTTGTGAGGGGAAATCTTCAAATGACTTCTCCCGCCCAGGGCCGGGCAGGAGGGAGTGTCAGACTCTTACTGACTAAAAACCCCCCTGTTCCTTCTCCTTCTCTATGCCGAGGTCGCGGTGCCTCATTGCGCTTACCCCGCAACCCCGGCTGAACACCAGCCCTTTAGGGCCCCGTCTGTGGTGGTCTAATGGCTCTTTGAGGCGCGCGCGGAACGCTACGCGCCGTACGCTCGGGCCTG